ACTAATTTAGGAACTTTTTGTTTTTAATCGCGACAGGTCTGTTTGGAGACACATATGTGTATCGTTTCCCTATGGGGTATATGTGATTTATGTCGATGGAGTACAGAACAAGACAGTGTATACTGGAAATGAACTTTGGAAGCTAAACGGTAAGATTAAAAACGTTTAATTGCTCAGTATTTTCTTGGTTGTAATACCGTCATTACTAAGAGCCAGTTATATGACAAATCTTTAGTTTCACGAAGACAAATATATGAAATAAGGAGAATAACTCCGTTAAGTCCCGTTTACACTTGCGATTTTTGACCATCCCCTGAGTAAGGGCTGTTTTACACATACGATTTGAGTTGCGCGATAAGAAAGTGACGATTATCGCGCTACAAATATCGCAAGTGTGAACGGGCCTTTAAATAGACATCTTCAAACCTTGACATCATCTTAAGTAAAAGGTCGTTGTAKYRCCGTACGCTGCGCTAGTGTTAGTYCAGTGTCCTCTATGGGACTTGAGAGGCTGGAGAGATTAAAACAAGGCATTTTTGCATTTATTTGAATAGAAATGCAAACATATTTCCTTGAAAATTATGCAACTTCTGCTTGGCCCCGACGCTGGCCCACAACGGAGTCAATGTCAGAGTTGTTCAACGAAATATTTCAGATGAAGCTTTCTGTTGTATAATTCCCACAGTGCTAAAGCTATAAGATTAATCACTGACGACTTTCTTTATTATTCTCGAATTTTAGGTGCAGACATAAAGCTTTCCGTCACTTCATCTGATCTCATTAATATCAAGCTAACCAGTCTTAATTCGTGGGACGCGTTTCTCGAAGAGGACGCTATTCTATATATGTCTTACAGTTGTAGAAATCACAGGGGAAATATGACTATCTGGGAGGAGTTCGTTAAGAATATTTCAATGGTTACCAGTTCAAACACTTCAGTCATTCACTATAACAGAACATCTTGCGAAGGAAAAAAAGGTAAATAATGGTAAATAAGCAGTACTTGTTCACATTTAAGACTTATTCTATTGATCTGCACTTAGATTATGACTTAGAGGCAGTGCTATCTGATTTGGCAACAATTTTATACATTGTAGAAGAAACAATATCACAGTGTGGTTCTATAACCCCGTTGTCATTTCTTTTTCGATCTTTCCATTGGATTGTAGCTAATGCTGAAGTTATCCATTTTACATTTTAGGTTTAAATGAGGTGTTTTGTTCGGTTTGACTTGTATTGTTTGATGTTTCAGGAAACGTTCTTAGCGTTGTGTCAAACGCAACTACACCGTCCTCGTCAAAAGCGATTTATGTAAGCCCGCCATAC